GAGTTTAATACATAAAGGAATAATTTCCCCTTTTTTTCACATCTTCATTAAATGAATGAATGAAAGAGTAAAGAGTAAGTTTGCAAGTTTAAATAGATATTTTTAATTTTTATGTAGTATTAATTCTGGTTGTTTATAATCACTATTATTCAATATTACCGTGTTAGTATTCTTTAAAGTCATTATGAATGATGTTGCAGTGATATTGCCAGGAAATTTATTATTTTCAAATAAAAATAAATTGATTAAGAATACAAGGAAGGAATGTTAATATCAATGGCATCAAACGATTTATCTAATGGAGACCAAAAAACAAAAAATGATGAACGAGAAAGAGTAAACAAACAAAAAGTGGCACTCAAACAAGATTCATTGACAGGGAGTCCATCAACTTCCTGTCCAACCTTCGAAGAACATGTTTGTTTCATGGAGTAATTCCATACTTTACAATCTTGTTACTTCTTTTTTTAACTATCAAAAGAAAAAAGAATTCAGTTTTGTCTCAAATTTTCTAGATTTCAATAATAAAATAAACAACTGAAATGCTGTGAAAAATAAGATATTAAGAGTTGAACGAAAAGAATTTAAAATTTTACGGAGAAATGTTGAATTTTATAGGAGGAAAATCATGCAGTTTTGGAAATATTTGATTCTTGCTAGATTTGCTGATTCATATGGCTCGTATGAAATCGAAATATGAAAATAGATGAATAAAATGAAGCATCAGATGAAGATGATCATTTCTTTTAGTATAGTATAATTTCGAACAAAATTAAACGGTACTTTCCGATAAGTAACATAAAACATCAAAAATTTGAAAAAGTCAACTTAAGTTATGTTGAATTATTTAGACGTTTAAATTTATCATAGTTGTGCATATTATAGAACAAAGTTTTTGACAATGAAGGTTCACTGATAAGTGTTACTTTGGATTCACTAATCGAACTGCTTATTCCCAGTCGTAGTTACTCATTCGAACAGTCTTATATTTTTGCTATTCTACTTAATATTCGTATTTTTATATCACCACCAGATTTGCTGCAAAAAATTCTACAGGTTTATTTTAAATTATCTAATTTTCTCATTTTCTTTTATTTTTTTTTCTAATTTCAAATATGTGAGGAAAAATTTGAAAATTTTTGCATATATTAAAAAAAAAATTTTAATTTTTCATTACAGCAATGTGTTTTCAAGCAAAATGCAAATGGCGCAAATTTTACAAAGGAAGGACGAACACGTACTTTTCATGAAATTTATAAGCTGTGCTTAGAATGGACGCAAAATATTCCATATGATTTTCGTAATCGAAAAATGCAGCAACGTTTGGTTGAATTGCTTAGTTTATGTTCCACAGATGAATATTGCAAATTACATATGGAGAGATTGCTTCAACAACTTCATCACACGGAAAGCAAATTTCAACCTTTTAACAAACAAAAGCGCCGAGGGAGAGAGATGGACACGTATATAGATTTAAAATTTTTATTTGAAAGCAAAATATGCGCAATTTCTATGTGATAATTATGTATTTTAGCTTGACCGAGCGGAAAGATTCGAACGAGCTCTGGCTAATATTACAGCGAGTATGGGCCAAGTTTTGAATATTGACGATAATAACTATGTTTGTTTCTTAATGAAAATTTAAATGAATCTCACCATAAAACACTATTTGACAGTCTTTTTTATAGTAATTACAGAAAGGATTAATGGAAATTTGTCCAAATCCAACAATATTGGCACGACAAATGACGCTCATTGAATTGGTTAGTAAGCTTTGCATTTTACTTTTTATCTCATTTTTATTATTTCATTTCTATAAGAAATTTATTAATGAATTAAAATTTAATTAGTTTCTGTAATACTATCAATGGCTTGATGTAATTTCCAGGAGCGACTCAATATGATTGGTCCAGATGAAATTGTTTATGCAGCAATGGATGATGATGCTAAGAAAGTTTGTTTTTTTTTTAATTCGCAAAAATTCTATTGAAAATTTTTTGAATTTATTAAAAATATAGTATTTATCAACTATATGAATAATATATTTATTAAAAATATAATGTTTACCAACTGTAAGAATATTATACGGTTAATCACAATGGATGAAGCAAATTGCCCAAAATGTCAATACAAATGTTATCTATTACTAATGAAATTTTTAAATTATTAAAAAAAAATTCTTATTTAGAGATATGGTAATTGTATGAATAATATAAGGTACTATATTGATTGGTCTAATCGACTGACCTATCTTACGGCTACCGAAATAGTACGATGTAGTAAAAAACAATGTCGGGTACACACCATCGAATACTTCATTGATGTTGCTAAAGAATGCATCAATATTGGCAATTTCAATTCATTTATGGCTATCGTATCTGCTTTATCATTACCACTTATAACAAGACTGAAGAAGACTGTAATTTGTTTTTGTCTAACTTAATTAATTTCTATTTTTTTCATTTTCAAATTTTTTTCACTTAACTCTAATTGCATAACAATGCTACAATATGTTTATAAAATTAATTTGGAGCACAATAGTGCATGTATGACTGTAAATTTGTCTAAGTTGTTTTTTGTAATTATTGTTTACTGAAATACAATTAAATGATATTATCAGTGAAATTATATTTGAGAAGACGAAAAAAAAATAAGAAGTGTCAAAAGATTTGGATTAATTTTTGATGAAGCAAATGATCAGTGATTTTTGCGGAAATTCGTTTAAAGTGTAGTAGCGTAATTCTATGAAAACAGTTCAATGAATTAAAAATAATTTTTCAGTGATGCATTCTGCATCAAAATTCATTGCATTTATCAAAAATACCATTGTACTCTTTTAAACTTCAAAAAATCTTTTTTAATTTCATTATTTTCGATTCCTAGTTTTATCGGAACTGATATTGCAGCCAGGGCGTTACTGATTTTATGCATTCCTATTGCATTTGATAGCACCAACATAAAAGTAGAACTTATATCTTACAAATTTTTTTAATAACAAAATTAAAAATATTAAATTGGACTTCTAGAAATAACACCAAATAAATATATACTATTTATTTTATGTGGAATACTTCTTAACAAATGACTTCAGCGCTGCTAGTAGATAATTAGATATTTGCGTTAAATATTATTAACTGATAGGAATTTAATTAATTACAAAAGAATAGAAAAACTAAACAATGAGACTGCTGATTTCTGATAAATTTGAATAATAGTAAATTTTGATTTTAATTTTTGATTATTTATTAATCGCTCTTGTTCAACCCATTGCATGCTGCTAATATTTATTTCACATCATCGCATTTCTAGAAGTTTCAAAATTGTCAAAATTTTTATTTATCAAATTTTTTTCTTCAAATATTGCTGTAAAATTAAATAAGAAAATTTACAGTGGAATCGTGTTGAAAAGAGTAAGCTTGAAATTCTTCGTCATCAGTTTGACCCAACAGCAAACTTTGTCAGCTATCGATCAACTCTTAAAGCAGCAATATGGCGTTTTAACAGTGCTCGAAACGAAAGTGATGCCGTATGTTATTATTTTTTAATTTATTTTTAAATTAAATTTAGATTTAAACTTTGTGTTTTAAAAAGGAGAGGAAAATTTGCAGGACATTTTGTAAAAATTTCAAAAAATATTTCATTTTCTATAAGATTTTTTTAACAGATTATCATACCATTTTTTGGTCTGTTGATGAAAGATCTATCGTTGTTGCATCGTCAATGTGCGCAATTACTCCCAAACGGACATATAAATTTTAAGGTATAAGTATGTTTGTATTTTTAACAGATAATAGCACCGACAAAATTCTTTGGAAAATAAAAATGAAAGAATTAGTAAGAACTAAATATTGATTTAATTAATAACTACATTTACACCAACGAAATTTTTAATTGATTCAATCATATAATGTAAAGCTGCTAAACAATATGAGCAAGACCGTGTGATAGTTGCAGTTATACAACAATCGAAGAAAAATTTAGCCAGAACAATTTTTTTTAAGAATGAAAAAAAGGGATAACTTAATTGGATATGAACATTTTTTTCTTTCTTTTGTTCCAGATGTTTTGCCAATTTGGTAGCGAAGTGTCAAATTTTGTGAAATGGAAAAATCGTAAATGTTTATTTGAACGTGATACTCGTACTTTACATCAACTTCTTCTTTCCAGGACACTTACCGAAAAACGTTTGTTGAGCCTTCATTTGGTTTAATTTTTGAAATCTTTTAAAATTAAAATGTAAAATGTAATATAATTCAAAAAAATTTACTCATTTATTGTGACAAATTTCCTCTCACAGCAAACTTTATGATAATTTTAGCATAAAGCTGTACTCTTAATTCATTTCAGAATTGATTAAATTATCATATAACTGCGAAATGGCGGAACAAACAGCCGAAAAAGAGCTGTACAGACGATTGAAAAATGATAACGATGCTCAATAAATAATGGACAATTATCACAATATGACTATTATTTTTTAATATTATATATTTATTTCTGATTGAAAACAGTAAATCGAAAACGAATTTTCCCTTACAAGAAACAATCATACAACGATTGATTAATTCATTTCCGATGGTAGTTGAAAAACAGGAAATTTTATTCCATTTATTCCATTTAACTTTTTACTACTGGCTACTAATTTACTTAGTTACAATACCCAATTACAAGATACCAAAACAATATTAATTGTTTATTGATGCTAAGTGATAGAAATTATTCCCTCATCTTTTATTGCCCTTATTATTAAGTGTGGATTTGCTTACCTGTACGCAATTAGAGGAAGATTTAAAGCAATCAAAATTATTTTATTTTGAAATTTGTAATGCAAAATAAAAGTTTCCACTCAAAAATTTCTGCTTATTTCTACTTAACTAAAAATCCTACTCAATAATATGCACATTACAAATTGCTTTTCAGTCCTTTCCTAGTTTCTCTTTTAGTGTTAAGGAATAAGCAGATTCATTCAAAAATTTAGGATTAGTTTTCATTTAAAACTTGAAAAAAGAAATTTTTTCAAAAGGAACAAGCTGAGTTCTTAAATAAATCTTGAATTAAATTAAACTCTTATAAATTACAAACGGGATTGGTTTCTTTGATTACAGTCGTGTTAATCGATTGGAAGGCACTCTATAATCTGATTAAAGCAACCGATTTAACTGACTGACTCAAAAATTTGAGACCAAATTTAAACTGCACAAACAAAATTGCTTTAAACGAAAACAAGCAGAAAAAATTACATTCCAACAATTTTTACAATGGATGAATAGCTGTAAATTTTTGCCAAAAAACTTCGATTAGTTCAATGATTTCATATAGAAAATTTATCCGATTTATGGCTCAGCAAAATGAGTCATCATTATTTTGCCATATCGTTTTCCAATACATACATAAATAAAAGCTAAAATTACCTATCTCTTCTTCTTTTTTTCATTTTACAATAAACGAAATAATGTCACTTGTAAACCTGGTAATCCTGCTGTACAGTTTCATTTAGATATTTCCTGAATGAAAATTTTGGAATGATTGAAAAGTTGTTGCTGCTTGTATTATCCATT